CAGAGAGGACTTAAAACCGCCTACTTACAAGCGTAATACATGCTTTCTTTGCAGTCAGGTAAAGCAATACTAAAAACATCATTATATAACAAGTCAATGATGTAAAAATATTTTGATCACAAATTCAGAAGAACACTATTATAAATTTAACGATTTTTTTTTAAATGATGAAAGTGCCTCAGAGCGGATCAGATTTTTTTTCTCGATACTTTCGAATAATATCACTCACTAGCAACTATCTTTGTCGTCAGTTTCAATATAAGTAAACTTAAAACTTGTTATATTCATGTATCAATCAATAATCTCTCGCATCATGTTTATGATATTATTTCGAGTAAATTTCATCATGTATAAATTTATTTACAATAAATAATACTAGTGTACTATTAAACTTAGAGGCCGAGATTTGATACATATTTCGTATAAAAAAATTATCATTATTCGATTAATATTATATTTTCTAAAAGCGTTGCTGTCTTCAATTAACTTCCAAAAAGTGTACTTTAAATGCCGACCAACACATTAAACATTAAAATAAAAGAGAAAAAGAGGGAGAGAGAGAGCGTAAGAGAGAGAGAGAGAGGGGGGAAGAGAGGGAAAGAGAAGGTGGGAATGGTAGAAAGAGAGAGAAAATGAAGCTTTAATGATTTTCAACTGACGGTACAGACATGTACAGCACTAAAGAAAACTCAATAGGATAATACATTATGTATATGTGTTGAAATCGCTTTATTTTCTTATGCATTTTTTATACAAATTAAAAGATAGATATTGCATTTTCATTTTTTGCTATAAAATTTCTCTCTACATTTGATCAAACGTATAACGTAAACATAAAGTATAACGTATAAAGTGTACAGGTCCCAAATACCGATTCTGATATATAATAAAAGAAATTCAAGTTGCACTTTTACAAAGCATTTCATTTCATCGAGTCTAGAAAGCATTACAAAATATATAAATACACTATTTTACAAGTAAAATGTTAATTTGTGGCATCCATCTCTATATTACAAGATTTTATCAAACATAACAAATACAAATAAGACAATAAGTTGAGGTAGAATGAAGTCAATAATATAAAAAATTATACATTTACAGATTAAATAATAATTAAAACCTTCAATTCATGACAATAAAACCTTTATGCAATTCAATTCGAATTCCATTCAGTCAGTTATAGAAAATAATTTAAGTGCGGTTAGGTATTACACTATATACGCATAGGCACATATTCTTCGAGGTTTTACGGCTTTAAAAAAGTTATAATCTTTATTATTCAAATATAAAAGAAAGATTTCCTTCCAATTCTGGCCTCTTTTCAATTTTGTTTGGTTAGAAATCAACTTTTTTTGTTGCATTTAATTTTGTGAGTTGTGTTGAGTACAACTTTTAATGCATAGAAGGCCTTGAACTAATTGTTTTGTTGAGTATAAATTAATTGAATATCAATTTTACCATCCTTTACCATATAATTTCAATAAAAAAACATTTCTCTGGAATTATACATAATATGGGAAATGGAAAGAAAGGAAAGACGTCTTTACTGCTTATTCTTCAAGCAAAAATGACTCCAAACGTAAAAGAAACATGTCCCCGCCGGGATTCGAACCCGGGTTACGGATTTCTCGAGTCTTAACCACTAGACCACAGAGACTATATTAATTTGGAGAATTGTACCGTTTATAAAGTAGCAGCTCTTGCACAGTCTTTACTTTCTTAACATCTAGAAAATATATCAAGGACAATTTTGAAACTCTAATTTCTTTACACTTCACAAAGTCATCCAAAAGTTATGTAACATATATCGTGATTTCAAATATTAACGAAAAACATACTTTTAGTTACATGAAATAAAATTCTCCTCTGAAATTCACATTGTTTCAATAATCACGATCTCTTATTATCAAATAAAATATACTTAGACATACAATTATTGGATTATCACCACTGTATATAACTATAATATCAATATACTTTATACATATATATATATATATATATACATATTAACAATTCAAATTAAAAAATCCTTTGTCATACATTAAAATAAGGTGTTCACTTTGTATCCTCATATCCGTGAATTGGTGAAACCAGCATTAAAACACGAATCAAATTGTATTATGGTATTTAAACAAACAAAATTACCCATCAAGAAATCCAATATTATTTTGGTGATATCAAAACCAGCCAATGACTTAAAACATGATGACAAATATAAAATGGGAAGTCATGACATCAAAATTATTTGACAAAACGTAGAAAACAAGAGAGAATATCTTTTTCAACAGGTTGGGAAAAAAAATAAAATAATAGAACGTGAAGTTCTACTACGTTGCATATTGCTCGAACTGACATCTTTATGATTTTTTTCTGTGAGCAACTCTTAATTTTAACTCTTTATCTATTCATTTATACAAAATAAAGTATCCCTCTTCTTTGGTTTCAGTCAAGAAGTATTTTATACAAAATGACTTATCAGAGCATGCCTAGAATAAAATAATTAGGTTATGATATTATGATTGAGAAGACACTTTCTTCCCATTTGAAATCTTTTGCACAAAACAGAGAGTAACTTGCCTAGGAAACCACAACGTTGTCAATTTGTCTATTATTATTCAGTAAAAATAAAAAACTCTTTAAATTCCCTTTCGGTTTATCAAGGTTCTCTGACCCGTTTCTCTTTAATTTTCTGCAGTTATTGAAGAATAATTTACATCAAGATGAATTTTTTACTTTAATAGTAAATGTTGTGTTTAAAATAATCCCCGCGTATTTGTTTGTATTAAGTGATCGTATTGGTCAAAACATTATATCTCACACAGCGATTGTTTTCTTTTTCATTAACGTATTAAGAACATATACATATAGAAGAATCCCTGCATATTCTTCACACACAGTGTTGCCTCTGTTGGAAGGAAGCGATTTTCAGCCGTCCACAAGATTTCTCGTCAAACAACGCCCAAAATACAAACATAAATATATCAAATATTTATAAATATATTATTGAAACACATTTTCATTTCGCTATTTTCTTATATATGCAGTATTGGGAATCTTTAGATATTCATCTGTGACACCCCTTCTGAGATTAATAATTAATCATGTATTCACACAATCGTTGGAAATAATGCCGAGTACAAGGACAAACGCCCTAGGGCAATCTACTATGGTTAAATTTCATGTAGAAATACAGATTCATGCACGGTTTGTCTTTCTTTTTAAATCATCCATAAGGCACAATGAATTACAAAATAATAATAATAATAATAATGACAAAAATAAGAAGAAAAGGTCATGCATTCGAATTTTCTTGAAAAACCTCTACCCCACGCCCCCAACGTTCGTCAGCCAAATTGTAAGGACTCCGCTCAGCAAGCACAAGTTCCTGAGAACTGCAATTGGAGAAAGGAAAATATAAGTATTAAAAACATTTGTATTACTGTAAATGGTGATTTTTGAACCACATCTGGACAATAAACAGATTGCTATGGTCAATGGTGTGTTCTCATGAGAATAAAAACGACCGAAGAATATGATGCAAATCCTGTCATCATAATTTATTTCTGCTTCTCATTTTTAAAAAATCATTGTTGGTGTGTATATCTATATTTATACCTCTTAGGTCATCGCTACTTGTCCTTGTATCCAAACGTAACATTTACTGGTATTTACGTAATTCAGTTCAAGGTACGCGCAGTAGCATGCAGCTAATTTTTTAAAAAAAAATCTTGTTTTATTCTATTTTCATTTTATGTCTTATATGTAGACCACTGTTGCATTTCTTGTTGCATTCGAGTTTACATCCGAAAAAAGGGCATTGTCAGGGCCTTGTTTCATAAAACTTGTTATCAATAACAAGTAACAATAACTGTTATAAGCTACTGAAATCGTGTCATCTGATTGGCTGAGAGCAAATTTGCCACAGAAATTTAGAATTCGTTGTTGATAACAAGTTTCATGAAACAGGGCCCTGATCCTCTCCATATACAATCATTCCACTTGTCTCACACCACTTTGATTCGCGACCAATCAGGGGGGCGTTTCACAAAACCTGTCATCAGTGACAACTGAGAGTTTTTGTTATAAGCTACTGAAATCCTTGCTTCTGATTGGTTATCAGCAGATTTTTCACTGCTTTTTGTCATTTGTCATTGAAAAAGGCTTTGTGAAACGCCCCCTGGGTAGGCTTATTATTTTCTCAAACTTGTCATCAATAATGCTTAAAATTCTATGACAAATTTGCTCTCAGCCAATCAGATGCCATGAATTCAGTAGCTATTAACAGGTATTGTAACTTGCTGTTAATAACACGTTTTATGATTGTAACTTGCTGTTGAAAACGCGTTTTATGAAATATGCCTTGGTCTTTTCTCGAAGTGGAGGGCTCTAAATCATTGTAATAACACGCATTATGATAGTAAACACGATTGAAAAGACTGGAAAATCAATTTGATGATAATTTCAAAAACATAGTGCATGGCCTTTTGTAAAATACAAAGATCATAACAGCACGTCTCACAATCCGAACATGATTCTGTATTGATAATATGATAAGGTGTCAAAATTGGCCCTTCAGTTGAAAGACGTGATCATGCTCTTTGCATTCGAGAAGAAAGTACTGTGTCTGTAATTTTTGAAATGTCTGGAAATGAAAACCATTCGAAAAAAGCACTATAGTCAGGTCTTAATTTCATGCAGTGGTCTAAAAAGTGTGATAAATACCTTGACATTGGATGAATGTTTGTTCAGCCGATGATGTTGATTTCAACTGGATTGGTTTAACACTCCTGTATACCGGCTTACTCGTCACTGGTTTACTCGTCGTCTCTGGCTCGACGTGAAGGATCTTCCAGCAACTGAAACCTGTTGTGTCCCTTGGTGTCACCTGTTAGAAAATAGCCAGGGAAATTTTTCGATTTAATTAATTCGTCAAGACAGTGTGAATACACGTACTACATGGAATGCATAGCCTAATGATAACGCATACAGGTAGATAATTAGTCGACTACCAATCCAGAGTCCTATGAAAAATCCATGGCATATATGTGAGGTGTGATCAACAGAACTCTAAAAAGAGTTGAATAAATTTTACTCGAATTTTGGGTAGAAATGAAACATGCATGTGTGGTGGGTAAAATTTAGGCGAAACTGGGTAAATATTCCCCAATTTAGTAATGCATTTCACTCACTAATTGGTAATACTCAACAAATATATATTCTCTCTTTTTTAAAACCCAATATGATTACAAAATTACTCAGATCTTTTGAGACTATGAGGACATCTTGAAATGGAAGAGTATCCACAGCCAAATCAGTTGACCTTTCAACAAATAGTATTAACAGCCCCGGCCTATGTGTATTATTGCTATCTGTACCACATAATTATAATTTTCGCAATGCCTCGTATATATATATTGTAGAACGGTGTGAATACTCAAGGTGACAAAATAAACAGATTTCTCTCCTTTACTGAGTTGAGTTGGTAGTGACGTTTACGCCATTGTATTAAGAGCAATAGATAATTCATAAATACGGTGTAGATGTGCCCCGGTCGACGCACATAATCTATTGTTAAATGCCTCGTATATATATGTTCCCCTAATATTCTCTGAACTTTGGTTGCTTCTGCCGATTACTGTATATCGCTGTTACAATAATTTTTCTGTTGACAGTGCTAGACATGAGTGATTCTGTTCAGTTGAATATCAAGTTGCTTCTGTTATGATTTGTTGGAAAAGGACGAGTGCTGGAAACGGCATACAATTTTTTCACTGTGAATTTAGTTACTGTTTTTATTTCTATGTAGAAGCAATGTATGATCCATAGAATTTGTAATGTATGTAGTAATTTCAAACATGGACTCTGATATTAATTTGGGAAACGAATTGGTATTTTTTTCTTCTCAGTTTGATAATTCTAAAACAATTATCCTTAGGTACTATAATTAACCATTTAATCATACAACTTTAATTAACCATTTAATTTTAAATTTCATTAATGTTTTTATTTTGATTAAAACATTTAACCATTTAACTTTCATTAACCATTTTGACCATTATCTTACTTTCACAGCGGCAAAACCGATACATGTACTAGACTGACAAAGGACAGAATGATAAACACAATTTTCCCAAACTGAAAAGAATCGATCAATGTAGAGTATTGGTTTGTCGGTGTGAATGAGGTATCATAATAATGATTATAGTATGACGTTCTTGAACAGCGCAAATAAAATTACATACTTCTCTATGCGCTAGCTGCCAATTATTTGGATAATTATTACCCTGGCTTTAGCTCCACCCGTGCTGGTATAACGCTGAGTGCATTCAAGGAATGGATCCCACATGGTACCTATATACCTCACCTGGGCCAAGTGTGGCCTATCATAAAATTATGTAGATTATTGTATTGTCAAAAGACATTAGTGCTACGGCAGGGATTCGAATCCTGTGACCTGTAGTTCACAGTTCACAGACTTATCCACTAGACCACACAAGTTATATAACCACACTACTAAGGCCTACCTGACACCAGTATATTCCCATGTCGTTCGGAGTAGCATTCTGGATGACAAGTTGGTACTCTTTGTCTACTGAAAAGTGTTCATTTGTATGTTCATCCTTGTCTTTGCGGTTTCTTTCGGCGATCACCGTTTCATCTCTTGGGTATGCTGACCCCTTCCCCCACGTGACAGACACAATTACAAGGGATTTGTTTATCGGACATGGCTGGAGAATGTAGGTCTGGTTGAGGGGCTGAGAAAACGCTGAAGAAAGAAAGAGAGAGGGAGAGAGAGAGTTAAGGATAAACCGAATGGATGATCTGCTGCATGTAACAAAACGAAAATTTCAACAACCCTGTGAAACGCTTTTATCGCACTTTTTAAAATTATTTTAACCGCCTCTCAGCGAGAAAAATGATCTGACATCATCTCCTTCTTCGGTTTTTAACATCGTCTTACCCACCTCGTCTAATGATTACTTGTCTCTTACCTTCTCTGGTCCCACCTCTTTTAGATTGTTACTGTCCATGTCTTCCATGTCTGCCGTTTTTGTTTTAAACCCCATCTCATCCGAATTTTTTCTTCTTTTATTTCCTACCAAATAATTTCAGCTCGTTGTATTCTAATTCTTTACCTCATCTTTTCCTTACCGTTTTCCCAAATGTTTATGTTGATAACTAAACCTTTTTCCATACATACCGTACTCTAAACTAACTGCGATACCCTTGTCTTTCTGAACAAAAAATGTGAATCTAGAAAAAACGTAAATCGATTTTGCCAAAATATTATTTCACGGGGGGGGGGGGGCACTATTTCAAACGTTCTCCAAAGCAATTTTGTGGGGATGATCTCATCTATGGATCACACACACACACACACACACACACACATACGCAAACAACATCGCTTTATGATATGTACCTCCACCAAAGAGGGCTGGCACAAAGATCCAAACAAAGATCCAACTGAATACCAGGGCAGCATCTCTTCTCCTCCCGCGCTGACTCATACAAGATAGGGGTGCAGGTGTTAGGTTCTCCATCCAGGCTAGCCGCTGATGAGTAATGTTTTGTAACCCTCTCGACTTTGCGGTTAGGAATGATAATAATTATGCCAACGCATCTGCATCTCTTTATACAATCAGTGACTGCATGCACTCGTTGCGAAGGTGCGATCGATAAACTGTCTGTTGATCTAACAAACTCGTCCAATGAGTAGCTTCTCCTTTTCGAGAGCGGATCAAAGATCAAAGTATAGCGGGGATTCCCCGAGCCGCTGTGATAAATTTCTATTTACAACACACACACAATCATAACACATAACACGCTCCCATTGATGGGGAATTTCCTCGCCGGTGTAATATATGGGGTGGGTAAGCCTAAATAAAACTGTTTCTGAGAAATAACAGTTGGGGATGCCCAACAAACTAGACCATCATACTTCCGAGCAGAGCATCTATGTATTTTCTTTCTTTCTTTCTTTCTTCTTTCCCTTTTTTCTTCTTATTTGAGTCATCCACACAAACATAAGCTCTGTTTTGTAATAGATTTCTCTTTTCTTTTAAAATTTGACTTTTATACTTTGTGTCTTTAAATGCTTTGATCGACTTTTAAGTGTTTAATAGTCTACGTTATATCGCAAATGTCGTTTGGTAATCATTTTTATGTCAGCATGTTTTCTTTTTTCATGTTTCGATTGAGTTGTGGAAATAAAATCATTTGAATTGCATTGAATTGCATTTAGGGGGAGGGGTGCATGTGTACAACTACTAAAACGAAAACGATACCATTAAATGTCACAATCAAGAGGGGGTGCATGTGTACAACTACTAAAACGAAAACGAAACCATTAAATGTCACAATCAACCAAAACAAATATTTAAAAACACCAGTCAATTGAGGATAGCGGGTGCATGTGTTGTGTAAAGTCTGTAAATTCAAAGATCTGTTTGATATTAATAGCTGCTTCTTGAGAGAGGTAAAGATGGTTTGGGAATGAATTCCCCATTGGGAAAACCCATGCTGTTGTTGATCTTTTTCTTTTACTAGGCCTACTTGAATGAATATCAATGTGCAATGTGGAAATAAATGATCTTTGCAATAATACGCAAACCCTACATCATGTATTAAACCATTGTCAAACGATGTTAACTCAAGGCCGGTATAAATGGCGGCATGATAGTATTTTGAGCTACATATGGCAAGTAGTGCAATCATCTGAACTGGTATCAAACGAGAGCATACGTGTAAACGTCGATTTACCAGGTAGCATGACAAGTAACAGAAGTACTATTCCCGTAAACATACTACCAACATCAGACCGCCCTGACATGGTCCTTTTTCGCCCACATGAAAAAGAAATATTCATCTTTGAATTGACAGTTCCATTTGAGAATAACATGACGAATAGCCATAGGTACAAGGTTACTAAGTACACACCCCTGGTTAATAACCTGAAACGCTCAGGTTATAGTTGTACACTATGGTGCGTAGAAATTGGATCAAGGGGATACATTTCTGAAGAAAATAGAGCAGCATTAAAAGGAATGTTAAAACTGATAATGGTATCAAAACAAATTAAGCATGTCTGTCAGACGCTTAGCCGACTAGCCTTAGTTACATCTTACGGAATCTACAAGCTCAGAAATGAACCACAGTGGACTGACACGGGGTACATGTCCGTCCCTGACTCCCAGGTGCTTAAATAGTCACCCCCTCCCCTGAACATGTTGAAGAACCCGTCCTATTTAGAGGGTCATTGCATTTTGTATACAATTAACCTTACAAGGAGGAATAACAGTGCATGTACGAAGAAGATGTACTTTCATTTATTTACTTTTCTTCAAAATATGTATAACTATAATACGACAATGCTCGAATGATGTTTACAACGATGCAATACCTGTTATGAACTTATATATCATGCAATTCTACTATGAACAAATCTAAAAATGTTTATATTTAAGAAACCATTTAATATTTAAATACTCCATGTATATCACTCTTCGTTCAGTGTAAATAATATAAGTCTCTGACTCCCAGGTGCTTAAATAGTCACCCCCTCCCCTGAACATGTTGAAGAACCCATCCTATTTAGAGGGTCATTGCATTTTGTATATAATTAATCATACAAGGAGGAATAACAGTGCATGTACGAAGAAGAGGTACTTTCATTTCATTATTTTTCTTCAAAATATGTATAACTATAATACGACAATGCTCGAATGATGTTTACAACGATGCAATACATGTTATGAACATATATATCATGCAATTTTACTATGAACAAATCTAAAAATGTTTATATTTAAGAAACCATTTAGTATTTAAATACTCCATGTATATCATTTTACGTTCGGTGTAAATAATATTTATCCGAGTATTTAGAAAAACAAGCAAGCCACAAAATGATGATGTAAATAATCATGACCCACATTCGTAAAACAAACTAGTATTATTATCAAAATCATGGTAATAAAATACATGCCAGAGAAACTAGTGCATTGTCGCAAAATCAAGCGTAATGCACTTATTCATGGTTACATTTCTACTATTTATACTGCCTTTATACTGGTATTTAAGATCGCCAAAGATAGAATCGGATTGCCTATTACCGTTGAGAAATCTCAACTTCGTACTTCTCTTTCCATTATGTTGTTAACCACTTTCTATATATGCTTTATATGTTTCCTATGTTGTACATGTTGTACTTGTCTTGTATACCCTGCCAGTGACACAGTTGTGTATTGTATACTACATTGTGTCATGGACCTGGGTTCAAATGTTTATACTCCTTTGTTTATTACGCTGAATAAAGATGAAACATATATTAGTGTTTATGTATAATTGTCTAATTCAACCAGGATAGCATCATTATGCTCTCCCTGGGGTTCGTGTAATTATAATTACCACATCATAGCCAGGTATCAATTTAATACACCTGGATTGAGAGGGGCAAATGTGACTAAACACCTTGTCGAATGATGTAATCACTTACTAAGGATCGAACCCAGGACCTGTCATAATGGGAGTCAAGAGCCTTTACCTGTAGACCCATGCCACAGTCCTCTAATATTTTAAAGCGGAAATCTTCCCTGATATATTTAGTTGGTTTAATAGAAGCAGAAAATGAGAGAAACAGGACAGTTAATGGTTGAGTAAAACCCGATTAAAAATAGGAAAGTTGAATTTTCGAAGGTGTAACCAAGCAAACACAAATTGGCTACTCTGTGACCCATACCACAGTGCTGTAATATTTCTAGATGCGTGCTCCATCAATACACTCAATGAACGAACGGTAAGCCGCCTGTTTGTGGGAAGGCTTCAGAAGCTGTCATTCTTTTCCACTTCCTAGGGTTTAGATCAATAAACTTGATTGGATGAGCCTCAAATTGTTATACCGTCAAACGTTCGTACGTCAAATTAAGGGGAATCCCCATTCCGTAATGCATTCTTCCTTTTCTATAGCGTACGAGTCATAGACAGCTTTGTAATGAATGGCGGCAATATTATGATAAACCATACATTAAAGTGAGGGCGCTAGTAAGAACTATCCATATAATGCTATGGTCACATTACCCAAAAGTAGCCTGCTCGGCGGCCGAGCGGCGAGTTTTTAACCAATTCTGCCCGGCGGCTGCCCGGCCACCGAGCGGCGCCCGCCCAGACACCGCTCGTTTTTAGGGCATCGCTTGGTCACCGCTGAAGTTTTAGCGCGGAGTTAAAATTTGGGCGGCGCCTGCTCACTTTTCACACGGCGTCCAAAATACGCTCGGTGTCTGGGCGGTCGCCGCCCGGCACCGACCTAATTGCTGGGCGATGCCTAAATTCCAGCAGCGACCGAGCAGGCTACTGATCGGTCGGTCGCTGCTCAGATTTGTGACCGTAGCTTAAGAGCAGGGAGCAGTCCGACATCCATTGCGATAACAATTGCATGCTTTAGTTACTGTTTCGAAAGTAAAGTATACAGGGTTGTATTTAATTATGTCCCAATATATCAGTTTATAATTGTATTTTGTTATTTCATGGATGACGATGATCCTTCCAATTTGACAAGTTGCCTTTCATCCCATCGACTCACATTGATGTAGCAAGGTGGCCGGTTATTAGAAATGCTAACATGAACATGAAGAAAGATTAATACTCTGCCAACATTGATTAAGATCAAGTTTCGAACTTTCACGCTTAAGCTATGGTCACAAATTAGAGCAGCGACCGACCGATCAGTAGCCTGCTCGGTCGCTGCTGGAATTAGGCATCGCCCAGCGATTAGTTCGGTGCCCGGGCGGCGACCGCCCAGGCACCGAGCGTATTTTGGGCGGCGAGTGAAAAGTGGGCAGGCGCCGCCCAAATTTTAACTCCGCGCTAAAACTTCAGCGGCGACCGAGCGATGCCCTAAAGTGACTCTCACACTCTGCCGTGTAGGCCTACCGTGTGCCACCGTGCGCGAAAATGTCTGCGGACGGTGGAGAACGGCGAGGGCACACGGTGGTTCGTTATCAAAGCGGGCAACACGTTAATAGGGCGTTGGCGCTTATTTACACCCGGTGGGACCCGGCGAAAGTTTTGGGCATGTTCAAAACTTTGGCCGGCTGGCACCGGCCGCAAGTAAGCGGCAAGAGGACGGTGTTGAACGGTATGAGGACGGTATGAATACGTTATGAAAACGGTCACACTGTATGGACACGTTCACAACACGCTCATAACCCGTTACAGAACGGTGATGAAAAATGGAGAGCGGACTGACCGTTGCCGTTCAAATCGGGGTATTTATGGCAGTCGTGTCATGACGTCAGCAGTCCGGGGACTCGCTCACAGGACGCTCCGAGCGGTGAGGGGACGCTAAGTGACTGGTAGGTGGCTGCTACAAAGCCGGTGCACACGTTCGAGACCCGGTATGGGCCCGGTATGGAAACGGCCAAAATTTTCAACAAAAGTCAATCTGGGCGGTGAAGACGGTAGAAGCACGTTCATCACCCGGTATGCGCCCGGTGAGAACGGTCAGAAGATGGCAACGAAACGGTGAAAAGATTAATTTTATGAATTTTTTTTTGCGGCCGGGGACAAGTTCGCTCAAAACCTAACGTTCTGGACACTGTTGTTGTTTTAATAGCCCAGCAGGTGGACGGTAGGCCTACACGGCAGAGTGTGAGAGCTCCATAACAACGAGCGGTGACTGGCCGGTCGCCGCTCGGTGGCCGGGCAGCCGCCGGGCAGAATTGGTTAAAAACTCGCCGCTCGGCCGCCGAGTAGGCTACTTTTGGGTAATGTGACCATAGCATTACATGGGTAATTATTTCAATTATTAGAAGGTCTGATTAAGAAAATTGCAAAAATAGAGCAAGTAGCCATTCAAATGTTAAGACATAAGTGTGCATCTGCAAGACATTCTTGTTCAACAATTAAAACAAAAGAATGGGAAACAAGCAATGGCGGATCCAGGGAGGCACAGGGGGCACGTGCCCCCGGCCAAATAAAATATGTTAAAATCAGCCCTAAATTCGCCCAAAATGTACTGAAAAACAGGGGCGTGCCCCCCCCCCCCCGGCCAAAAAAATAAAAAAATAAAAAAATATGCCTATGGCTGACCTAAAAAGGTGACCTTACCCCCCCCCCCCCCCCCGCTTATTCAGCGACTGGCTGAGTCGTTGCGATATTTTTTGGACCAAAAAAAAAAAGTGTCCTCTTACCCCTCCCCCCTCTCCCGCTTATTCAGCCGGTGGCTGAGTCGTTGGGGACTAATATATATATATATATATATGTTCTCTTTCCTACCGTGTGTCCCCCCCCCCCCGGCAAGAAATTCCTGGATCCGCCCCTGACAAGGAGGAGGGTTGAGCTCTGGATGTCAATTGCAGTCCAAGGACTGCATGAATACCTATATCATTTTCACCCGAGATGGTTGACGAGCCGTACGATGCCTCATGAACATTTAAATCGGCAGGTAACTCATTTTTGCAAATTTCTTACAGAGACTTATTTATTTTCAAATGGTTATGATCAGTCATGCATGAATTAATAAGTACATACTATATACATTAATTGACCAATCCTAACTACTGTATAGAGGATATCAGTAACAAGGTAGCAGCGCTCGTGTGATGGCGCTCTGTTGAACAAGATTTCTGACGATATTTACCGTCTGCCGATCGTCCATCTTCGCTGCGTCTATCGAAAACTTGTCATTATACATATTTATTTTTTAATGTAAGCAGTGAATTTGGCTATTTGCCGTTAACAAAAAACTTGCTTTTCAACGATTTTGTAAAGAAATGTCGTTCTTCTATTTATAGGCTTACGTCGCTTCTGTCCCTCTTTGATCATACGCCTACAGTATCTCTAGGTCCAAGATCAATATCAATAATTATAATATCAATAGGACAATATGACGTCACTATATATATGCCACCTTTGACACGAGCTGAGTTCCCGCCAACGATGAAATTCGTTGAATGCAAGCAGGGTCCGACAAAGGCACGATTGCTCAAGTTTAGGTGACGGTTATAACCTGAAGATACGGTAGCTTCCTTTCTTCTATTCTCAAGGTAAGGATTTTTTTTCTTGAACCTGATTTGTTCTGAAGTTACGACTTCATTTTCGAGACCTTATAGAACAAGGAAGTACGTTATTTTGAGAAATTGTAGTGTAATGTTTTGTGTGTATTATTACGCTTCTAGTTCTGATTGTATGCTGAAGAGTCATGGACGCGTAATGATCGTTCATCAGTAAAACCCAAAAGGGTCGATTTGTGGTCAACGCCAAGTCCGTCTTAGTGGCCACCTCTCTATAAAGGCCACATGAACTATGTAGTGGTCACTTATTTTTCCTCCTTCTGCGTGTTTTCCATAGTATCTTACCAAAGTGGATCGAGGAATCCTCGCTATACTCGATTCATCACAAGTGCATGTATTCACTAATTGTATGAAGGGGTACAATCTGCGATGGCATAATACTTATTCCTCACCGCAAAGTCGCGAGAACAACAATAATCATCACTATCAATAATTTTAATATCCAAAGGACCAGGGCAACGTTTAATGAAACCGTCATAAATAATACAGGTTCACCGACATCCCATTGAAACGCGTGTTAACCTATACACGCATTTTAATGGGATGTCGGTGAACTTGTTCGTATGACGGTTTCGTGAGACGCTGCCCAGGTTATTATGATGATGCCGCCTCTTGCCATGAGCTGAGTTCCCGCCAACGATGAAATTGGTCACGTGCATGCAGGGTCTGACAAAGCGATTCATCTGAGATTTAAAGGGACAGTATTTATGGTTTTATCCTAAATGTTATAAATAAATGAAGAAAACTGTGACCTAATTCTGTCCACCTTGTGAAATTGTATTTCCTAAAATAAATGAACATATACACCGTTTTCTATGTTGTGTAATATCATCTTCAGCTTACTTTCCGTCTTTTCTTTCAAATGCTTTCATCTTTACAGTTCCATTCAAGAAAAAGACTCGTAGCCATGGTTGGAATCACAGATACAAATGGTGAGACCTGATAAGTAGCAATGACAGAAATATTTCTCTTATAAAACACAAGTGAACACTCTTTAATTATGTTTCATGACAATATAGAATTTAATTACTGAGCAAAGACTGCTACTGTGCTGCTTAGATGATAATGAAGATAATACTTTGGTTTTAAATTGCGCTAAATTCATCGATGGTGTCTCTAAGCGCTCATCAGGCTTGCCAACTCACAATCTATGTACATTCTCTACTCCCTAGGGAACATTCCAATCAGCCAATATTAACAGTTTATTTCATGACGTTAATGGATTTACGCCTGAGCCAGAGGCGGAACCGGATAAATATATAAATACATATAGGCCTATTCGGTGGGGGTGGGGCCTTCTGGGGTAGTTTAAGGGTTTGGCGTTCTTGCATTCAGTTTCTAAATTAGGGGGACGGGAGAGGGGGTTGTTCCCCCAGCCCCAATGAGGTAAATAATAGTACAGTAGTATAATATTTATTAACTCTATCGACCCCCTCTCGGGGTTTGAGAGTACAATATAAAGAAGACATATTTACAAGTATTATATAGAGGCCTACATTCTAAGTGTGTACAAAGAAATTTCATATTGTATTTCAAATAATGAGACTAATGACTGTAAATCTGCATTTTCAACGAAATTAATTAGCGAATATAGTCAACTAAAATTGACAGTAAATATGGTTCAAAGTACATTAAAAAAACATGTATATTGATTATTAACCACGTTTGTTTCTCTCTTTTTTTTCAGATGGAAAAATTCTGGAAAATACTGGCTACCTTTACAATGAGATCGCTACAAATTATCCATCAAATAATTATACACAGTTGTGCAATGAACTGGGCGTTAGGTTTGCTGAATCACAGAGCATTTTACAAAGGCACCTTTTAAATTCTAAGAAAGCCTTGAAAGAGGTTTTCAATATTTGGGAAGCGAAAGGAAATGCGAAAGGAAATGCGACCAGAGCTAAACTGGAGTCTGCTCTGAAGAAGGCTGAAACCGGTGCACTATGTTCCATAGTAGCGAAGCACTTTGCAAATGGTAAATCTTGATATCCAAATATGTAAATATTAAAGATGTAAGGACAACAAAACCTTATTTACTCAAAAACAACAAAAACAAAAAAACCTTGAGGAATATACAGCAACTACTCATAGATATTATTTAAGACTATTTTCATCCGAGGTCAATGCTCACTGTAGACTGATTTTCAGCACCAACGATAGTATCAGCCACCCAAGATATTATTTCAAATCAAACGTGTAAATGAAATGATAACTGTTCGTATACTCTCTCTCAAAAAGAGAGTGAATTTTCACTCTATTTCACTTTCTCGGGAGTGACGTCAGGGAACACTTGTTTAGGAGTGAATATCGATTGATTTTAGAGTGCTCTCTAAGAAGAAAAGAGTAAATGTTCACTCTATTTTTACTACATTTTCACTCTCCAGAGGAGTGACTTCACTGATCACTCGATTTTTTTTTTAGAGAGTAACTAAATTCATATCTTTACGATTTTTAATGTCATTTTTCATGTTCACTTAGAACGTTCCAAGCCAAGCATTTATCATTTAGTGTGTTAATCAAGATTTATGTTTTAATTTCAAATTCATTCAATTCACCCTATAGTTGAAGTTCATGAAGAAGAGGAGGAATCTGATGAATCTGATGAAGGTGATTAGGCAAATATTTGTTTTGAATTCAGTAATTCAGTTAAATCAATTAATCTCTTGTAATGATATCTAATACAAAAAAGAAAGAAATAGGCGATGTATCTAAAAACAACTTTATAATTTGCTACTGATGAATAGTAAGAATATTAATCGATTTATTTTGCCTAATTTGATCATAATATTCCAGAATAATTGTTATTGATTTACACAGTATTGAATAACCAGTGCAAACAACTTTTTATCAAAACAAGCGACAATTTTAGATTGTTACCAGATAAGCAGTTATCATTTAGTGTGTTAATCAAGATTTTAGTTCGCGCCCATTTATAAAATATATGCACATTGACAAAACCTCAGCACTTTTCTATAATCAGTTCTCAACGATGATTCTTTCATGATCCACTTTAAATTGATTTATCGCAGTTTTCAAAGAAAAGTAGAAATACAAAGGACCTTCAATATCGTGAATTAAGCATTATGCATGTATTATTTTCTTTTCTTTTCAATTCAATTCATCAAATTTTCCCTACAGATGAAGTTCGTGAAGAAGAGGAGGAATCGGATGAAGGTCATTATGCAAATATTTGTTTTTAATTTAGTAAATTAGTTAAATAAATTAATCTTGTGCAATAATTCGTCGCTGTTTTCACGAAGTGACGGTAGGGAAAAAAAATTGCATTCACTTTGCGTTACGATTTTCCTCGCTACCGTCACTTCGTGAAAACAAGGACGAATTGTCTAAGTGTAGACTTATTTTCAGTGCCAAATATAATGTGAACCACCCAAGGTATCATTTCAAATCACAAGTGTAAATGAAATGATAACTGTGAGTAAATGTATTCATATCTTCATAATTTTTAATTGTAATTTTTTTTTAGTCAGAACGTTTCAAGTCAATCATTTCATTTCATATCATTAAGTATCTTTATCAAGATTTTTTTATTAATTTTCGTTTGCGCCCATTTTACAAAAAAAAATGCACATTGACAAACATGCAGCGCTTACGATCAGTTCTCACCGATGTTACTGCTCATGACGCACTTTAAATTGATTTATCGTCATTTTCCCAAAGAAATCAGATATTCAAAGGACATTTGCTTTCATGATTTAAGCATATAAGTCATTTATATATAGTTTTATTTTCAATTCCAAATTCATTCAATTCACGTTATAGATGAAGTTCATGAAGAAGGGGAGGAATCTGATGAAGGTAATAAAGCAACATTTTCTTTGAATTCAATAATTCAGTTACATCAATTAATCTTTTACAATAATATCTTATACAAAAGATGAAAGAAGCTATGTTTCTAGAAAAACTACATCAATTGATACTTATAAATAGTAAAAGTATTAATCGAAAGTATTAATACTCATTTCGCCAGAATTGATCATAAGATTCTAGAATAATTTTCCATTGATCTACACAGTATTGAATAAGCAGTAAAAACAACTTTCTATCAAAGAAGCTAGGGCTCTTTGGCAATATAGTTCTACTAAATGTAAATTTCTGGTCCTTGAGATGGAAGGGAAATTTGAAAGGTACATTTTAGACGGAGACGACAACAGTCAGTCTGTGAGCACTTGCATCAGCGACAATTTTAAATCTTTTAAAGATAAGCAGTCATCACTTAATTTGTTAATCAAGATTTGTATTCTTGTTTTGCGTCAATTTAAACAAAATGTATACATATTGACAAACCTGCAGCACTTACCTATAATCACTTCACCACGCTGGTACTGTTCATGACGCACTTTAACTTATCGTCATTTTCGCAAAAATTTACATGTATCATGATTTAAGCTTTATACAAATATCATTGTCCTTTCAATTTAATTCATTCAACTCACCCCCCCCCCCCTCCCCCTAGATGAAGTTAACGAAGAAGAAGAGGAGTCAGATGAAGGTGATCATGCAAATATTTGTTTAATTCAGTAGTTAGTTAGATCAATTAATCTATTGGAACAATAGCTAAGTGTAGACTGATTGTCAGCACCAACTATACTATCAGCCACCAAAGGTATTACTTAAGATCACAAGTGTAAATGAAGTGACAAATGTTCATAAATACATTCATATCTTCATGATTTTTTCATTGTTATTGAAATGAGTCAGAACGTTTCAAGTCCAGCATTTATAATTTAGCGTCTTAATCACGATTTTGTTTTTTTACAAAATATATACACATTGGCCTTCAACCTACAACCGGGATCCCAAGATGTAACTGTTCATGACGCACTTTAAATGGCAATCCAACCCTTGTAATAAGTTGATATGTATGAAAGCAGAAAAATAATAGAAACTGCATGGCAAAAGTTTCAAATGAATCGGACCAATAGTAAGCAAGTTATGAATGTTTGGAATATGAGATAACTAAGTTTATGCGAATCTCAAACTAGTAGTTCGGTCAGTTGATTGTGATGTAGGACGTGGATAACTCTTCAATCGCCGTGTACAAAAATATCATTAATTTCTATTTTTCTCGTAAGTTCCTTCTCTCTTGCATGGGGAACTACTCAAAATATTGTATATATAGCATATTAGTATAGGTCCTCTAAAAAGAAGAGACCATCCTGAGCAATATATTTTTGAAAATTTGAATTTTACTCATTTCATATGTTGGAACAGATTGGAAATTAGTCCGGCAGTACATCACAATGACATTACTGCTTCAGTCAATTTTAAGTGCCCATAGGTATAGTGATTAAAACGTTCAAAAATTCATAACTTTCTTGTGTTAGTCTAATTTAATTGAAACTTTCATCAGTTTGCTTCTCCGATTTGTCTGCTTCCTTTAGAGTAGTTGTCTATATCGGTTGGATTTCCCTTTAAATTGATTTGTCGTCATTTTCACACAAACAATCAGATATTTATAGGACGTTTGTTATCATTTATATACATAAATCATTTTCTTTTCGATTTCAAATTCACTCAATTCACCCGGCAGATGAATCTGAAGAAGAAGAAGAGGAGGACTCAGATGAAGGTGATTAGACAAACACTTGTTTTTAATTCATTAATCTAGTTAAATCAATTATTCTCTGGTATGGTTCTACAGGATAATTAAAAAAAGGATATTTAAATTATCCTGTAGAACCATACCATACTGTTTGATGCTCTTATATGTTTGTTGTATAATTTTGTTCATGTTTATGTTCTCATATTCTATGTTTTATGTATTTTTTGACCAATGTCTAATTTTTATTATAATAATGTAAAACAAACAAATACACAAACTTAAAAGTGAACACGTAACCTAAAAAGCCAAAAACCTGGCTTTCATTCTGTTAACCATTTTCCAATTATCCATTTATGTTTTGTTTTTTATGTAGTCTGTACCAGTTTTCTCATTGAATGCGATACTTGTTTGTTTTTTAATCTTCTTAATCGTTTGATTGAAATGTCATAGTTTTATAATGTTTTCATTGCCCATTGACTGTGTTTTACACATTGTTTTTAATTGATGTTGGAATTCAGAAATAAATGATATGAATTTAATTTAATTTAATTTAATTTAATTTCAACCTGTGAAAGACAAATTATCTGTAACTTACCACGAAATGACCATACTGAGCAAAAAATTCTTCATTTGTTAACGAATTCTTTTCCTAAGCCTGCAGCCAAAGAAATATGACGACTCCTCCCTACGTTTGAGTATAATTAACTATCAATCCATTCATGAAATTTGCCTATATCACAACTGCGGCAACGATCAATGTTTAATAACTTGCATCAGCCACAATATTCCCCATGCAAATGCTTATACCATAATAAATATACAGGATCAAAAGAACTAGTCACAATGCCCACTTTATTAAAGACGACATTTTTTTAAAGCGCTTCTTTACAAGTGCTGCTTGATGTAACATGATGATGACGAAGGTGATGGTGGTAACGATGGTGATGATGGTGATGATGATGATGATGCTTATGTATCTAATTATTATAGATAACATCCTTCTTTCATTTTATAGAACCTGCAATAGTTCATCAGAGAGGAGGTGCTCAAACTATCAATGCCTCTGGAAGGTCAAAGGTCAAAGGCTCCACAATGACTGGACCGGTGACAAATGTGAACATCCACAATCATCCAGCTGAGTAAGAAAACGAGTTTGTAGATAAATTATGTTTCTCATTATGACTCAAGTGGAAATAATCCTCTCAAGGCAAAATAAAAGGAATATGATTTTTAAGGACATTATTTTTCCCAAAAAATTTAGGAACTAAGAAGTTGGTCATCTGAAATGGTTAAGAATACTGGCGTAGCATTATCCTAGCTATTGAATCTGATTTCATAGTGGGCACTGTTAATACATGGTGGGTGAAATACGAGAGAACAATGCTTTTGGGTGAGGGACGATTCGTCTCCTTTTCATATGTCCTTGCCTAGCCTCTATCTTACCCCTCTGTCTAATTTGGGCAGGGGGACGATTCATCTTCCTTTTAAATTTCCTTTTAAATTTCCTTGCCCCTCTTTTGAGTGTAATCTACCCCTTTTTCGATGGGAGCGTGCGCGTTCGGACATGCCCTAAGTATAACTACATATTTTAGTATGTTTTCTATTTGTAATATGTTTCAACCACCGAGAGCGCGGTCAACTGTTGTCATTGACATGTATCCCTAATTTGTGTATTTCTTTTCTTCTAATAAAGGGCATCTACTAGTCAAAGGCAAGGTAGAAAAAGGAAGGCTGCTGGATCCTCTGGTGGCAAGAAAAGGGCGAAAATGGGCGGTAAACAACAATTTATTTGTCTCGATAATTACAAATAATCAGCTAAATCATTCTATTGTGGTAGTAACGTACTGGTGTATACTGGTGTCTATTTTTGTACTAAAGTCAACATTTTTGTAAATACTTTGATTTGATTAGAATGGAACAATAAATGTATTTGAAGAAGAAAACATCCTCTTGATAAGGCTAGGGCTATACGGTGATGTGCTGATATCGAAGGTTAATTTCTTAGTCCTTAAAACTCGGAGGGGGATGTGGAAGGTACCTTTTAGTTGGAGGGGGTTAGGCGGTCTTTGACTTGTATGCCTAACTTCATTTCTCTCTCTCTCTCTCTCTCTCCCTCTCTCTCTCTCCCTCTTTCACTCTCCCTCTCTCCCTCTTTCTCTCTATACAATTTCCATGGAAAACTTGTGTAAAAGACACTTTGTAATCAATACTCGGCATGACAGCTAATTGTTTATTATGTTTTAATTTCGTAAATTCGCAGCTGCACCGTCGGGTAGTCGTCCAAAAAGAAAGCGCAGTAAGTATTTTTTTTCTTTCTTGGAACGGGTAATAATCAATTTAAGAATAAAAGACTATTAACATAGAATTCAACATGTAAAGCAAGTCCAAATAGATCTCTTTCATGGCACGATCGTGTGTTAGATATTTATCATTTAAAGAGAAGGTTGAGTTCTGGGAAGAGGTGAAAAATAATTTGTGAGCATCAGTGGCGTAGACAGGTTCGTACACCTGGGGGGGATGACTCAGGGGCGGATCTAGCTTTTTGCTAAGGGGGGGTTGACCAAAATAATGACGATGCGGAGCATCGTCCACGAGCCGCGAAGCGGCGAGCCGATTTTTTTGGGGGTGTTTATTTGAACCCCATAAGTGATGTTTTCCTGGCATCTATTAACACAATGGAGACCATAAAAAGCAGTGCATGATAACGTCTTTTTAAATCAAGTAACAGTTAAATACACAGTTATATCCAGAGTTATCATGTGTTTGGTTAAGTTACCAGATGAGTTGAATATCTTCTCACAATATTTGCACTTGAAAGGGTTTCTCTCCAGCGTGCGTTCTTTTTTCTTTCTTTTTTTCTTTTTTTTTTCTTTTTTCCCTTTTTTTGTTTTGTTTGTTTTTTTGGGCCGCCCAAGGGGGGGGGGGTTTAAACCCCCTAACCCCCCCCCCCCCCGTAGATCCGCGCCTGTTTAATCTTGTGGTTATCTTGTGGTTTCCAAACCACAAGATAACCACAAAATACTTGTAAGATTTTTTTTTTTTTTTACCGTCTGAATTGGCTTTCACCGTGTGAATGCGGCTAATAACAATAAACACAATTACAATAATGATGAGGATTATTATTATCATCATAATTATTATTATTATTATTAATATTATAATTGTTATCATTATTATTATTACTATTATTATCATCATTATGACTTATTAAGTAAGCAAATATCATTCCCCAAAACCTGGGGGGGATGATTGTACATGCCATCCCCCTCATCCCCCCCGTTGTCTACGCCCCTGGTGAGCATTACTCTTTCTTATTATGCAAGTGTGGAAGAACATCAGTTAAGACATGTTCCCTGAAAAGCATGGCTCTTCAAATGCCTTCATATTCTAAATATGCATGTAACATCGTAAAAATCGGGGGGGCCGGCTTTTTACGCCACGTGTTCGTGTAGTCCCATATACATCTTTCTGTGCAAGTGTTTGTAACTTTACCAAGACTTCATTGTTGGCCAAATTTCTTATCATTTTGATGATTCCAGAACCTTGCAATACACACAAATTCTTATATGCTAGATGATCAACCTTTTCTGGTCGGTTCCACACCGTTTCTTTCACAATGCAATCGCATGACCAGAACTCAACTTCATCTTTAATGTGGCGATTCTAACTTGTAATTTCCCTTTGAATTCCACTGTCTTTTCAATTATAAGAGTGATTCCCCCAAATTAACTCAAAATATAATTGATTTATATTTATATCCTTTTTATATTAAAATTTTCCGATATCACAGCCACGACAACGATCTACTTGCACGAGCCACTACTTTCCCCTTGCAACAAAAAGAACTATAGTCTTAATGCCCACTTTTTTAAAGACGTTATTTTAAATTGTTTACATTTAACGAGTGCTTCTTTACAATTGCTGATTGATGTAACATGATGATGACGAAGGTAGTGGTGGTAATGATGGTGATGATGATGATGATGCTTATGTTTCCAACTATAATAGATAACATCCTTCTTTCATTTTATAGAACCTGCAACAGTTCGTCAGAGTGGAGGTGATCAAACTATCAATGCCTCTGGAAGGTCAAGGGTCGAAGGCTCCACAATGACTGGACCGGTGACAAATATGACGACGCACAATCATCCAGCTGAGTAAGAAAACGGGTTTGAAGATATGTTTCTCAATATGACTCAAATTGGAAAAATCCCCTCAAGGCAAAATAAAAGAAATATAATATCTAAGGAAATTATTTTCCCCATAAACATAGGAACTAAGACATTGGTCATCTGAAATGGTTAAGAATGCTTGCGTAGCATTATCCTAGCTATTGAAAGCACCGATTTTATAGTGGGAACTGTTAATACAAGGTGGGTGAAATACGAGAAAACAATGCTTTTCAAATGTCCTTGCCTAGCTTAAATCTTACCCCTCTCTCTAATTTGGCTGAGGGGGACGATATTTTCCCTTTTAAATTTCCTTGCCCAGCCTCTATCCCCTCTTTTGGGTGTAATCTACCCCTTTTCCGATGGGAGCGTGTGCGTTCGGACATACCCTAAGTATAACTACGCTACTGGTTGGGGCATTAGTAAAAACAGCTTGGCTGAATCACGTTACTATTGTAAAGGGAAGGTAAAAGGGTGTTTTTTTTGGGGGGGGGGGGGGGGAGGGGGGGGGGCGCGCAGGGCTGTTTTTATTTGCATATTTTAGTATTTTTTTCTATTTTTAATATGTTTCAACCACCGAGAGCTCGGTCAACTGTTGTGTATTGTAATTTGTTTATTTCTTTTCTTCTAATAAAGGGCATCTACTAGTCAAAGGCAAGGTAGAAAAAGGAAGGCTGCTGGATCCTCTAGTGGCAAGAAAAGGGCGAAAATGGGCGGTAAACGATAATTTATTTGTCTTGACTATTACAAATATTCATCGGTTCTAGTGCAGAGTGGTGTTTACTGTTGTACTAGGTTAATATAATCTTGTAAATATTTTGTAATGCTTAACGAATATTCTTTTTTAAATGATTTTGATTTAAAACTTGTATAAAGTAGGTAAATAAATAAGTTCGTCAACAAAATGCTCTGAAATTTGTTGCAAACGTGCATAGTTATTAAGTAGAATGTATTTGATGCAAGAAAATGTAAAGATGGAAACGAAATTTAATTTGTTTTTCTTCTGAAAATGGTTAATATCCCGGAAATGTATCAAGCTCGCATGTTATTTTGTAAAATATTAAATTAGGAGCATTCGATATTGAAATCTAGTCTATCGTTTAAAGTAATCTCATTGGGGTTCTTTTCATGTAAAAAGTCGATTAAATTATTGTATAAGATTGTAAATTAAAATAATTCTAATGCTATATGCTAATATGTTAGTAAGGTGTTACACTGAAAAAACATCTAACAAAAATATTGATATGAATTGAAAATTATCTGAAAACAAAATACGATATTTTTAAGGTTTTATATCATGACAAGCAAACATTACGATGTCCCTTCCCCGAGTTAGTAGCTGAATCTGTTTTTATTTAAAACTTTTAACCTTCAACCTTATCAAACATGCATAAACCTCAGTAATAAACATAACAGTCTTTCATTTTTGAAACATTTATATGCCAACTTAATAATTCATGAGGTACTATTTTTCTATGTCGTTCTATTATCTTATTTGCCATTCCTTGTAGTACTAGTCATTTTTTAATCATATGTCATGATTTTTATAATAAAATAGATCAGTGATCGCAATGGCTGCGTAAATTTTACAATTCCATTCTATATTTAGATATTTTACCCATTTATTCTTTCTTTTTTATATTTTGAATACACGTCATAAACGAGAAAATGACATGGTTACATATCCCACAATCACTATATTTTCCAGTAAATATAATGTGTCGTTCAGGGGCGGATCCAGCCGGCTGCAGGGGAGGGGCCATATAGAGGGCCCAATTCATGAGAAAATGTATAATGGCGAATAAGCGGGGATGGGGGAGGAGCACTATTTTTTCTTCTCCTAAATTACGAGGAAGTATTTAACGCCGAATCAGCCAGCCGGTTGGTTTAATTTCGAATAAAATTGATTTGTAAACCTTTTTAGTAATGAATTGACGAATAAATATTTGTTTACTTTATTTAGTTTTACCTCTATAATAAGATGGAGATCTACTAAGATATGTGGAGAATTAAAAGAAGGGATCTTAACGAAGGTATGCTATCTTTTATTGGTAATCTGGGAGTGAAAGGAAAAGACAGAGAGAGGGATTTTCGTTCGTGTGTGCGTGGGGGGGGGGGGCGTATATGCGTGTGTGTTTGTGTGTGAGAGAGAGAGTGTGTGTGTGAGAGAGAGAGAGAGAGAGAGAGAGAGAGAGCACGATGGAGGGGGGGGGGGGGGGGCTGAGCCATAGGAATGCGCTCGCAACAGATTAAAGTTATTGATGTTTCACCCATCGCCGAGCGCGTTAACGTAAGTGTTTGTGTGAAGTTCAATGTATATATAAATTTACCAAACACTTTTTTAGATGGATTCTCTTCGGTCACTTCCATAGTATCTCTGTTCTATAGTACTATGGAAGTCACAAAAAGATAACTCACGATTTCAATCGGAGCCCCTGAGTTTACAAATACACACACACACACACACACACAAACATACATATAAATATATGTACACAAAACGAAGAGAAGGGAGAAGATGAAAACGTATTCATGTAGGCCTTACTCAAAGTCATAACTCTTAACGGACAAAAACACCATCCCTACGATGACGAGTAAAATTCAGTCGGAAATGTGCAAGTTTCTCTCAAAATACAATACCAATACCAGAGCAGATTAGCTTTAAAGAACAAATCTGGGAGTTTTAATTTTCATCGTTTTTCTTCCAATGTAATAGCAGCATTGTCCGAGTCCCCCCGAAAGGATTGTTCTCCCACAGGCCCGTAGCCAGAGTTTGATGTTTTTTGTTTGTTTGTTTGTTTGTTTGTTTGTGTTTTTTGTTTTTGTTTTTGTTTTTGTTGTTTTTGTTTTTTTTTTTTTTTGGGGGGGGGGTGTTACACCCACAAACGTAATAACGCCCACAAATGTAATAACACTTAACCCACAAATGTAATAACACCCACAAATGTAATAACACTTTACCCACAAATGTAATAATTTCACCCACAAATGTAATAACCATTTTACCCACAAATGTAATAATTTGAATCACCCACAAATGTAATAATGACTTTACCCACAAATGTAATAAATTTGAAGGGATGTTTTGTCGAATTTGTTCAAAACTAAAGCCCTGTAATAAAGCATGGGTATAGCGCGCAGTCTTTACTCCAGACCCGGTTATTTAAAAACTTTTAAAAAATCTTCAAAACTAAGACCCCATAATCCTTTTCCTGAGGAATAACATGAGAATTGAGCGTAGTCTTTCTTCCAGACCCGGTTATTCAAAAGTTAAAAAAAACAAAAAAACTTTTAAACTTAGACCCCACCATCTTCCAAACTAAGACCCCACCATCTTCCAAACTAAGACCCGGTAATAAAGCATGGGTTTAGAGCGTATTTTTATTTCCAGACCCGGTTATTTCAAAACTATTTAAAAAATCTTCAAAACTAAGACCCCATCATCTTATTCCTGTGGAAGAACACGAGTATTGAGCGTAGTCTTTCCTCCAGACCCGGTTGTTCAAAAGTTTTTAAAAAAATAAAAAATAAAAAAAAACTTTTAAACTAAGACCCCTCCATCTTCCAAATTAAGGCCCGGTAATAAAGCTTTTCTTCTTCTTCTTCTTGATTTGTTTTTGTTTGGCAATCAGTCACAGTTGACTATTTTTGCCACACACTATTTTATGAATTATTTATATATATACATATATGTACAATTTCATGTCATAAATGACTATTTTTAGGATTCTTTCTCTTTCCATCCTCTTTCCTTCCTCTTTTTTCTTTTTAGACTCTATAACTTTTTTTTAGAGAGAAAATTCAATAAATTAATAATTTTGGAAAGAGACGACGGCCTAGCAAGTTGTGAATGAAAAACGCCTATAAACTAAAACTAAACGTACGTACTTGTGTTTACGCGCACGTGCGCGTTCAAATATCACCTCACGTATGCACATGTGTACTTCGCACTTACCCCCACCCTTTTTAAAATGCCATCTTACCAGTCTTTGAGGTATATTTCGCAGACTTTCGGTTTTAACCTAGGTCACTCCGGCATAGGTGAGGGGGTGCCAGCTAGCATGTGATGTTAGAGGTGATCACCGAATTGTTAGAAAAAGTAAATGGTCAAATTAGTTACAAGTATTGTGGGCTTTATTGGTGCAAGAAAAAGGAAAAGAGAAGATTTAAAAAAAAAAAAAAAAAAAAAAAAAAAAAAAACCTCAACAACAATTTAATTGTTTTGATACAGCCGCTTTGTTCTTAAAACGAAGCGAACTATTGCTTTTTGTTTAACTATTTCTGAAAGTTTAAGTAGTGTCATGATTTCCTGTGGATGTGATAAATCAGTTTCTACAAGTAACATAGCTCTTTCTATTATGTACTTTGGGCATTCAGTGAGAAAGTGGTTTACAGTTTCAGTACGTCCTATGCAGTTATTGCAATGGCCTGTCGAGTGTATATTCAATCTGAAGAGATCTAAGTTCAAACCTATCACTCCTATTCTTAATCTATGGAGAATACTTTCTTCAAATCTGTTCAACTTACATTCATATGGTTGATTTACTGTAGGCAGTATATGTCTAAGAGATCTATCAGAATTATTCCATCTGTCTTGCCAGAGTTTTATATACTTGCTGGTAATAATACTCTTTATTTCAGAAAAGGATAATTTATTACAAATTTCAATGTTATTTTGTAAAGCAGATTTTGCATAAAAATCTGCCATTTCATTTCCGTGTACACCACAATGGCTAGGAATCCATTCTAAGTGTATGTGTTTTCCTTGATACGATAATTTTGTACTTAATGTAATAATTTCAGTTACAAATGTAATATCTTTTTCATCCTTTATGGCGAGCAGGGCGCTTACGGAATCACAAAAAATAACAATGCCAACATACACATTAATGTTCTCTAGCCAATTAAGCGCAAGGACAATTGCAGCCAATTCGGCTCTGAAAGATGAGGTGTGATCCGCCAATCGTTTGGCTTGTTGAAAGGAGAATGCTGGTACATAAAAAGAAGCAGAACTTATTCCAAAACTTGGAACCTTTGACCCATCTGTATAGATGTGTAGTTGTATTGGCCATTTGGTACTGATCAATTCTAAACTGCGTTGACGTAAATAAGATGGGTTTTCATGTTTGTTCACTATTTCGCTTAATTCTATCGACACTTTTGGAGCATTAATTTTCCAAGGGGGGAAACTAGGTATAGTGTAAGGTTCGATAGTACAATGTTTCATTAGTTCTGTTCTGCATCCAAATGGCTTGTTATTCTTTTGGAGCTTCAAAAGTTCCATTTGCCAGCTGGGCTTAACGTTTAATATGACAGGGTGATCTCGATGCATTTCAATCTTTTGTCTGAATCTGTCCGCCAGCATCTGTCTTCTTAAGTCTAAGGGCATTTCACCTAGTTCAACTTGTAGTGAATCTAATGATGTAAGAGGAAGAGCTCCCGCACAAATTCTCAAGGCTTGATATTGAATGGAGTCAAGTGATTTCTTTATACTTTGAGCCGCACTGTCATAGGCTTCACAACCAAAATCTAATAACGATCTTATCAATGCTCTATATACCATTAGCAGGGATTTCGAGGAGCTTCCCCATGTAGTCCCAGTAAGGCACCTAAGAATGTTCAGTTTCTTTTTACATCTAAGGACTACGGCATCTATGTGCGTCTTCCATGAAAGTCTTTTGTCAAATATAAGTCCTAGGAAATGCTTCTTTGATTGGAATAAAAGTGCGTCGTTGTTTAATTTTAGTTCTGGGTATTTTGCTTTATTGTTTTTAGTAAATAACACTGGAAAGGATTTACTCTGTGAAAGGCGAAAGCCCCATTTAGTAAACCATTCACTCAATGTGTTCAGATAGCACTGTATTCTGTTTGAAATAATTTCTATGTTATTACCTGACATCCAGATGACACAGTCATCAGCATAAATAGATGTGGTGATTAATTCATCTGTTGGAATATCACTCATCATGATATTATACAATATAGGACTTAAGACACTCCCCTGGGGGAGGCTGTTGTACATTTCATATAATTTTGATTCTTCTTTACCAATCTTTACTTGGAAAGTCCGCTCTTTCAGATAGTTATAGAGAAACTCGAGCATATTACCTGTAATACCATGTACTGATAGTTTGTAAATAAGGCCTTTGATACAAAGTCTATCATATGCCTTTTCAATATCGAGAAAGATTGCTAAAGTATATTAACCAACATTAATGCTTCTTTGGATGGCATTCTCTAAAAGTACAATGTTATCCGTGACCCCACGTTTACTACGAAAGCCAGTCATGAGGGGAGGAAGTATATTGTTCTTTTCTACATACCATTGGAGTCTATTCTTCACAATCCGTTCTAGTATCTTGGCAAAACATGAGGAAAGTGCTATGGGTCGGTACGACGATACCTTTCGGGGGTCTTTATTCTGTTTTAACACAGGTATTAGGATAGAGTGTTTCAGACTGGGAGGTATGCTACCCGTATCCCATATCAAGTTCATGACCTTTAGCATATATTGTTTTGCTTTCTGAGGAAGTTTTTGGTAAACCTGATAAGGGATCTTGTCTTTTCCAGGAGCTGATTGTTTACATGTGTTTAGAGTTTTTTGCAATTCAAAAAGAGTGAATGGTTCATTCAAGATATGCTCCATTCCCCGCTTCAGTGATTTCGTGACTTGTTGCTCAACATTTTTGTTTTCTTTTATTTCTGGACATTCTTTAACATTACTAATTGATTGGAAGAACTTAGAGAAAGCCTCAGTCTTTTCACTGTTACATGTGATTTCTTTTCATTTTCTATCAGGACTGACATGTTTTTTGTTTTTTTGACAGATACCCCCTTTAACCGTTTAATGGTAGACCATACCGCTGATTCTGGTACAAAGCGGTTGAGTCTTGAGCAAAATTCTTGCCAGTAATTTCGTTCTGCTTGGCGTAGAGTTTTTTGTACCTCTGATTTTTTCTTCAAATATGTATTTAGATTTTCTATTGAAATGTGTCTTTTTAATCTATTATTAGCCCTGTTTCTTTCTTTGATACTTTGTGTACAGTCTTTTGTCCACCAAGGTACAGGGTCATGTTTTTTCTTTCCCCTCTGGGGCAT